ATCCAGCTTCTCCTTCTGAAACCTTCCCTCCTCGTTCCCCTTCTGATAATCCTGATGAACAGATGAATGACACAGTTAATAACACAGATCAAGTAGACTGCAGTGACCTTTCAGAGCATAACAAACTTGACAAGGAAGAATCCATGGATGCGGAGGCTTCCAGCATTAACAATAGCAGTAGCAGTTCCAAGAGCGTCAACAATAGTATTACAAGCAGTAACAGCTCCACAATGGGTACCTCAGCTATAACAACCTCTCTACCTCAAATAGGGGATCTGACAGCATTAGGCAACTTTTCAGTGATAAATAGCAATGTCATAATAGAAAACCTTCAAAGTACGAAAGTGGCGGTAGCACAGTTCTCACAGGAAGCGAGATGTAATGGTGCGTCAAATAATAAGCTTGCTGTACCTGCCCTAATGGAGCAACTGTTGGCTTTACAGCAACAGCAGATCCACCAGTTGCAACTGATTGAACAAATTCGTCACCAAATATTATTGTTGGCTTCCCAAAACACAGACGTGTCAACATCATCTAGCCCTTCTCAAGGTACTTTACGAACATCTGCCAACCCCTTGTCCACGTTAAGTTCCCATTTATCCCAGCAGCTGGCTGCGGCAGCTGGATTAGCACAAAGCCTTGCTAGTCAATCTGCCAGCATCAGTGGTTTGAAACAACTACCCCCTATACAGCTACCTCAGAGCAACTCTGGCAATACTATAATTCCATCCAGTAGTGGCTCTTCTCCAAATATTAACATACTGGCAGCAGCAGTTACAACACCATCCTCAGAAAAAGTGGCTTCAAATGTTGGTGGCTCACAGCTCAGCAACCCACCAGTATCAGCATCATCTTCACCAGCTTTTGCAATAAGCAGTTTATTAAGTCCTGCATCTAATCCACTTCTACCTCAACCCGCCCCTAATAACTCGGTTTTCTCCAACCCCTTGTCCAATCTTGGAACACCTGCAGAGGATTTAAACTCCTTGACTGCCTTGGCACAGCAAAGAAAAAGCAAGCCACCAAATGTAACTGCTTTTGAAGCAAAAAGTACTTCTGATGAGGCATTTTTTAAACATAAATGCAGGTTCTGTGCGAAAGTCTTTGGGAGTGACAGTGCCTTGCAGATTCACTTACGTTCTCACACTGGCGAGAGGCCCTTCAAATGCAACATATGTGGAAACAGATTCTCCACAAAGGGAAATTTAAAAGTCCACTTTCAGCGTCATAAAGAAAAATACCCTCATATTCAAATGAATCCATACCCAGTGCCAGAGCATTTGGACAATATTCCGACAAGCACAGGTATTCCTTATGGGATGTCTATCCCACCAGAGAAACCTGTAACCAGCTGGCTGGACAGCAAGCCAGTTTTGTCTACTTTGACTACTTCTGTTGGCCTGCCACTCCCACCAACAATTCCAAGCTTGACACCATTTATCAAAACTGAGGAGCCTCAACCTATTCCCATTAGCCATCATTTGGCTAGCCCTCCGTGTTCTGTCAAAAGTGACTCGGGAGTAGCTGATCCTGCTATAAAAAATTCAAATGGACACTCAGATGAGGCAGAAGTCAGTGCTTTGCCTACCACAAATGGGAAAACAGAAGAAAACACTCACACTTCAAACTCCTTCACTAATATTAACAGCTCTGTGAGTTCACCGGCAGCAGACTCCAGCTCGAACAGCATTGTCACTTTTACAAATCCACTGATGCCTCTAATGTCGGAGCAATTTAAGGCAAAGTTTCCATTTGGAGGACTACTAGATTCAACGTCGGCATCAGAAACATCAAAATTGCAGCAACTGGTGGAAAATATTGACAAAAAGGCAACCGATCCTAATGAGTGTATTATTTGCCATCGAGTTCTCAGTTGCCAGAGTGCATTAAAAATGCATTATCGCACACATACTGGTGAAAGGCCATTTAAATGTAAAATTTGTGGTCGTGCTTTCACTACTAAAGGAAATTTAAAGACTCATTACAGTGTTCATCGTGCCATGCCCCCGCTGAGAGTACAACATTCATGCCCGATCTGCCAGAAAAAGTTCACCAATGCTGTTGTGCTACAGCAGCATATCAGAATGCATATGGGAGGACAGATTCCCAATACGCCTGTCACAGAAAACTATCCAGAGTCAATGGAATCTGACACCGGATCTTTTGATGAGAAGAATTTTGATGATCTAGACAACTTCTCAGACGAGAACATGGAAGACTGTCCTGACAGCAGCGTGCCAGATACACCTAAATCTGTGGATGCATCCCAAGACAGCTTATCTTCTTCCCCTCTGCCACTGGAAATGTCAAGTATTGCTGCTTTAGAAAATCAAATGAAGATGATCAATGCAGGACTTGCTGAACAACTTCAAGCTAGCTTAAAATCAGTTGAAAATGGGTCAGTGGAGGGGGATGTTATGACAAATGATTCATCGTCTATTGGTGGTGATATGGAAAGCCAAAGTGCTGGAAGTCCTGCTATCTCAGAGTCTACCTCTTCTATGCAGGCTTTGTCCCCATCCAACAGCACTAATGATTACCACAAATCACCAAGTATTGAAGAGAAACAACTAAGAGCTTTACCAAGTGAGTTTGCCAATGGTTTGTCTCCAACCCCTGCTAACGGTGGTGCTTTGGACTTGACATCTAGTAACACAGATAAAATAATTAAAGAAGAATCTTTGAGTATGCTCTTTCCTTTCAGAGATAGAGGTAAATTTAAAAACACAGCGTGTGACATTTGTGGCAAAACGTTTGCTTGTCAGAGTGCCTTGGACATTCATTACAGAAGTCATACCAAAGAGAGACCATTTATTTGCACAGTTTGCAATCGTGGCTTTTCCACAAAGGGTAATTTGAAGCAGCATATGTTGACACATCAAATGCGAGATCTGCCATCACAGCTTTTTGAGCCCAATTCCAATATTGGCCCTAATCAGAACTCTTCAGTTATACCTGCTAATTCATTGTCATCTCTCATAAAGACTGAGGTTAATGGCTTTCTGCACGGCTCTCCTCAGGATAGCAAAGAAACACCGCCTGGTCTTGTTCCTCTGGGGCCTTTGCCATCTTCTGCCACATCACCAGTTCTGCTTCCAACTCTACCCCGAAGAACTCCCAAACAGCACTACTGCAACACATGTGGGAAAACATTTTCATCTTCTAGTGCTTTGCAGATTCATGAAAGGACACACACTGGCGAAAAGCCTTTTGCCTGCACTATATGTGGAAGAGCTTTCACGACAAAAGGCAATCTTAAGGTACTTTCCTTCTTGCTGTTGTTGTGGGTTTTTTTGTTTTTGTTTATTTACATTTACACCTGTAATGTTGTAAACAATGCTACTTTTAGATATCTAGGGTATGAAAAATGGTTTTATTTGGTTAGCTTTGGCACCAGTAGATTGTCTCATGCTGGGTGCCTGGCGTTTTGAACAGGATTGAAGAGTTTAATGCAGCAAGCTATTTCTGGTTTGATAAAATGCACCAAACTCACTATGTAGTCTATGAAACAGGATAGCTGAATGTTGCTAGAGGGTGTTTAATTAAAGATATGCATGAAGTGTACTGCGTACATTACTTATTAAGCACTGCATCTTAAATATAGTATTTTCATAACTCTCACTCACAACAGACTTGTTTCTAACTAATTCTTGAACTAATAGGCATTATTTTAATTGATTATATAACTAACATTTCCTACTGATGTGTTGAAAAAGCAAATATACTTAAGTTCTAGAACACTAGTTGAGCACTTTACTGTGTACATGTTTCTGTTGACAGAGTATTTCTCTAGAGATTTCTGCCAGTAATGTGAGATGAATAATTACTTTCAGGCCATTCTGTCTATACACAAGGTTCTCCGATGAGCAATCAGTAAAGGATACTTTCTTCCTGTCTGAAAAGGACATTTATAGGGTAAAGAGTGTCAAATACAATACTTACCATTGCAATGAAAGTGGACATAGCAATTTTAATCCTGAAAGTAGCTAGCTGCAATTGACTGAATAACATAAGGCTATTATAAACTAAATACATGTAATGAAAAAGAGTAATAAGAAATGTATTGTTCAGCAGGAAAAAGATGGGCATTCTGCATAATGCTGGTACCTAGGTCCAGATGAATCTTATTTGTTGTTACTGATCTGAACTGGAATATTACATCCTTTACCTTTAGTGGTGTTCTTTACATAAATAAGAATAGACACATGGACTGCCTTCTTTGTTTTGTGTTAAGGTATATTTGATCAGTCAGAATGAATTCCACTGCTAACTACCTTCCTTCCTCCACCTACTCCCTTCTTGCAGGTTCACATGGGCACTCACATGTGGAACAGCACTCCGGCGAGACGAGGCAGACGACTTTCCGTGGATGGTCCCATGACATTTCTAGGAGGCAATCCTGTAAAATTCCCAGAAATGTTTCAGAAAGATTTGGCTGCAAGGTCAGGAAACGGAGACCCTTCCAGCTTCTGGAATCAGTATGCAGCTGCACTCTCCAATGGCTTGGCTATGAAGACCAATGAGATCTCAGTCATTCAGAATGGTGGCATCCCTCCAATTCCTGGAAGCCTGGGCAATGGAGGCAGTTCACCTATTAGTGGGTTGACTGGAAGCCTGGAGAAGCTCCAGAATTCTGAACCTAATGCACCTCTAGCTGGTCTGGAGAAAATGGCAAGCAATGAAAATGGGACAAACTTCCGTTTTACACGTTTTGTGGAAGACAACAAAGAAATTGTAACAAATTAGAATAAACCTTATCAATAACATTCCTGCAAATAGTGCAACCTAGGGTTGCTTTTTACAAGTCTACAAACGACAACATTATAAAGACATTCTTTTTGTACCATGTTCTACTTCTAGAGTTCTAAGAGAGCTTATTTATTAGTGATATAACCTTGCTTTGCAAACAAATGCAAGCATTAACTTTGGTCTCCTGTATTTTGAACTAAATACTAATCGACTAGAGTGCTGTAAACATGCTGTAACATTTATGGCAGTTGCAAGTCTGTTCTGCTAGGTGATCTTTTTCTGGCATTAACTTATTTTCTATATCCAGTTTAACATGAACTCTGGTATTGATGCACCACCTCAGTGATGCATTAGATCTCTAATAAAAGTCTGTATATAAATGTATACTTTGATCTCGCTGGAAATTTTATCAGCAACACATTGTTTAATTTTCCAAACAGAATTAAGAAAAGGACTGAAAGCTGAGAATATGACTGAACAGTGTGGGTCCTTTACAAGCTCAGTTTTTGATTTTTATTATAAAATTAAAACTGCTTTAATTTTTGTAGATTTAACATTTTTCGTTTTGAACTGTTATTTGTATTGTGCTTTTTACTTGAGTCGTCTTAAATGTTCATAAGTTTCTGTACAGTAATAAGCACGCAGATTATTAGAGAAGATACAAAAGTGTTGTTTTGGTAGTTGAAACTGAGACGTAACATTTTGCCTTGTAGGTATATTCATTATAGAAAATGTGCTGGACTTTCACAATGCTGCTAAGTATAGCATCTTGAACAACCTTCCATGGACAAATGTAGATGCTCCTGTATATACAATAAGAAATATCACTTTCATTAAAATGTACATATGTTCCTTGCAAGACCAAGCCCTACTTCTTGACCAAGGGAACAAGGATAGTGTTTGTTTATTTTGTATTAGATATGGGGGGTGGGGAACACAACTTTGGACTGTTACATGCACTTTCTTGGAAAGTTGAAAGGAAAAGAGGTCCAGTTTCTTTAACATTTAATACTAACAGAGATACTGTAATTTTACTTGAGTAATCAAATACATTTTTGCAACAGATAAAATGTTGTCTCTGTGTTTTTAAAGTGTATTTGTATTTAATAATGTCTTTTGAATGTATTATTTAACCTTACCCCTGGGTATTAGAGGACTATCCAGGTATGTATATGTCAGTGTATCTATATGTATGTGTGGTATACATATGTTTATTGCATATTAATGGTTAGTATATATTTGCATATCCACTAAGAGTGGGAACCTTGTCCTTTTTAACTATTCAGTGATATCACTACTCCCAATCATCAAATTGTAGATATTTTGGCATTCTTCATCTCTTTATAAAAAATGCTGCTAACAATGGCCTTATCGAGACTAGGTAAGTTTCCTTTGAAGGAAATTTATATTGGATTTAAGGTTTCACTTGGTTCAAATGTTTTCGATTTGATATTTACTTTATTCTGTGAGACTGTATGATTGTGGCATGTTTATCCTGCTTTGTCAGAGTTAAAATGTCCACTAAAAACCTTCATGTATTATATGGGGGTAGGGAGGAGGAATCAATGTGGCCTTGCTCCCTACAGGTTTGATCTAGCATTCCTTATGCACCCACAACTATCATTGACTTTAATGGGAGTTTTGGGACGCAAGATTGGGTCCACAATTTTTGCCTGAGGGTTTATTATTTTTTTTAACTTTTAATTTGAAGTAAAACAATCATTTTGACAGCTTTTAAATTATACAGGTTTAAAACAAATGACAATTTCTAGTTTTATGTATATTGTGTATTTTTGCACGCTGATAATTCAAATATTTTTATTTTTTTAAATGTCATTTTGACAAGAATTTAGGCCCTTGTAGCCTATTTACTTCTGTTACCTTGAGTTGGAGATAGGGGAGAATGTACAGTATGATGCTGAGACTTAACTTGGAAATTATATCCTGTGCAGTAACTATTTTTCATAGGGAATTTTCTTTTTCATTTTAATGACTATGCATCCTAAATACACTAGAAACACTAATGCCTTTAGAAAAATGTATGTCTTTTACTGTTAGATTTATGTACCAGATGAGTCACATATAATATGCCGATTTGTTAACATGTAAATGTACACTACCTCTAGTGTACATCTAAAATTGAGTCATTTTAGCCTCAAAGACAAATTAAACAGACTAATGATTTAATTAATGACATTAAATATGAATTACCTTTTTAGAATACCTTTACTTTTGTGTCCCTAAGTGGCAGAAACAAGGTTTTAGCAGACTTTTTTTTTTAACTTTAAATGTGGGGTGTTTTTGTTTTATTCATCTTAGAACCTAACCTGTTCAGGTTCATTGGAGCTTTACCTGTGACTTTCACTGGGGGCAGTATTAAGCCATGTAAAACTCAGTCCTACATTAAAAATGATAAATTATGGGTCCTACTGCCATGCAGAGGGAAAACTATTAAAGCACTGTTAATGCCTTTGACATCCTGGGGACGAAAAACGTCAGATAGCAAAAGGGTCAGTTCTCGGCTGCGGTAACTGCTGAAAAGAATTTGGCCCTATACGTACAAACATGGCTGTGGGAAGAGCTATGCGCTGCTTCCAGCCAGTGCAGATGAACTCTTGGCATGATGTGGTAAACTTTTTCATTAATAACAAACTCCGCAGCAGGGGGGTGGCATTCACCTATGAGTAGGGCATTGTCTATAATGTCTTTTTTAGCATTGGGTTTAGAAAATTAATCTAATCAAAAATACAAAACTCTTATGGGGTGTGTTGGGAGAGGCTCTAACGCTTTCAGCTGTAATGCGTTTCTGAAATACATCAGAACTAATGGCATAAGGTTCTTTTATTCTTGGTCTGATGCAAAGTAACCCTCAACTCCTAATTGGCTGCCTGACAGCTGGTTTAGGATGTTGAGAGGTAGAGTAGCTTGGCCCTTGTCATACTTCTTTGCTTCCCCTTTCCTGCTCAGCTGGGCCCTGGGGAAGACGTTAGTATGTTTGACCTCCTCCAGGGCAGCAGCTGGAGCAACCACTGCAACACCAGGTAACTGCTTGTTGAGCTGTAATGCTGAGCATTTCTAGACTGAGCTACACAGGACAGTGCTTTAAACACTATCTAAGGTTGAATTTTTTTGTAGTTGGTGGGGGCTGGCTATTGGAAATAAGGTCTGTGCATGCGATTAGTCTGAGCACAACTCCTAATGATTCGGTAGAGGAGGAAGTATCAGAGCTTATATTAAAAGGGGGTATTATTTTAGAGCACAGGGAATTATAAATGCAAGGTATAATTCTCTTCTTTAAGTGAGTTATTCTATTGATTTCCATCAAGAGAGATTTGGCATACACTCCTCCCTCATCAGCTTAACCAAGCTAATCTTCTCTCTAGGTTCAGTTTAGTCCCCCATCCCTTTCTAGAAGCATGAGCACCTGTGAGTTACTGAAATTATCCACCTGCTGCTTTGTCCTTCTAGAGGAGGTTGGCCTCTGCAGTGCACTTCCTTTATATTTCTATACAGAAAGTGCATGGCTCTGTACAGAGGAATCATAGCTAGGAAGTACAATGGCCTCCTTCTCTTCCACCCTTTTCACCCCTAAACCAGTTTATTTTGTTGCCTCCTAGACTAAATGTTTCTGCTCTGGGACTTTAACAATAGACCATTTTTTTGTTAGCGAGGGGTTCGGATTTGTTCTGGCCTTCAGCAACGGGGTGGACGTGGATGGCTCCGGGCCCTAGATCCTGTCCTTAGCAACTTGGCTGACTTATTTAACACCATGAAAACTCAGAAGTGACTCCCACCCCCGTGGAGGAAGGAGAGCGCACTCAAAAGGGTTCGGCGCTGGTGCATTTTGTCTAAAGAGCCCGGAGGAAGGAGCAGAAACTGGCTGGCCCGATGTAGGCAAGAGGCCTGTCGAAGCAAGGGTGGGAACAGTGAAGGGGAGGAGAACGGGTGGGTTGTACGGGAAAGGGAAGGGGGGGGGGATATTACGGAAGATTTTATTTTACAGCAAGACTTGGCTGCCAGATGGGCAAATGATGTACAAGAAATACCCTAGCTCGTTCTTGAAAAAGGGGAGAGGGGCCTGGGAAGGTCCCGTCTTTTTTTCTTTTTCGGGGGGGGGGGTGCAAAGAGGAGGTGAATTAGATCCCTCTTAAGTACGTTTTAGGATGCAGGAGAAAGAAAGCCCCCTGGGAGTGCAGGGCGCTGTCCCTTTGGGAAACCAGGGACGTGGGGGAAGATGTGACACCCCCGGCCCTAGAGGGGTTGGGCGGAGAACGCTCGCAGCTGGGTTTTGTGGCTTGGGCTCTTTCCCCTAGGATCATTTAAAGCGGGTCTACACGGGACATCCCTTCCCGGGCTGCAGCGGCGGGCTCTCCGGGCGGCCAGGCGCATGCAGCCGGGGAGCTGTGAACTCCCTCTTGCCTGGCTTTTTAAAAAAGATCTACACCCCCCATCTGTCTATCTAGGGCAGCGACTCCATTCTGCGCTCCCGTGTGAACGCCCCCTCTCCTCGCTCGCCCGGGCGGGCCGCACGCCGGAGTGTTTCTCTCCCACGAGGTTAAGAGCCGATTCCTGTCTGTCATTTGGAGGGGCGGCTTTTCCCTCGGCCTGGGGAGCTGAGCCCCGAGCAGGGGCATTTCTCCCGTCGGCGGGCTCTAGATGACATTTCACCCCTCCACCCCAGCAAAGCTCCGGGGTTTGGTTCTCCGGGCGCGGGTGAGCGGACGCCGCGGATCGCTCCGAAATCTCCAGCGCCGGGCTGGCTAATTGTCTCTCCCCCCAGTGTAACCAGCCCTAGCACGACGCGAGGGGAGGCAGGAGGGTGAGTGGTGGGGGGTTTCTCCATGCCCCTCTCCCCCCGCAGGCTGTTGTGGAGGTAGAGCTGCCTGGCCCACCGCCTCCCAATCCGAATTGCCTGAGTGTAACTCAAGGGGGAGATTTTCCGTAATGAGCCCGAAAGGCGAGACCACCGGAAGGTTTTCTGCCCCCCCCCCGGATTGCTGTATAGACATACCCAGTAGGGGGCTGGGCCTTAAAGACTGAGCTTCCCAATCAGAAAGCCTGGGCAGGTTGCAGTGAGCTGTGCTGGGGTCTGGCCCATGTTGACCCACAAAACCTGCGGTCCGGCATGGCTGGCTGGCTGGGCTCAGCTCCCCGCCCACACCAGGCGCATTGCGCGGTGCGTTTCTGAGAGAGACCCCCGCCTACCCGCTCCCCTTGCCCACAGGCCTGTCCCCCTCCCCCCCCCCCCCCC